CAAAATGAGATGACAGATGCGACAGTAGGGTGTGGTAGTTCAGAGCAGCGGTCCCCAACCTTTTTGGCCTGATGAGGCGGACTGAGGCAGTGATGCTAGTGCTGGGGAGCAGCTGCAAATACAGATGAAGTTTTGCTCACCGGCCTGCTGCTCACCTCCTACGTGGCCCAGTTCCTAACAGCTGCAGCCCAGAGGTTGGGGACACCTGGTTTGGAGTGCTAACTCTGGAATCTGGATTTAAGTGTCATCTCCATCAGTTTTGGGAGATGTGATCCTGAGTACAAATGAAAGTGATAAAATTACCACCTTCACAGGATTGCTGTCAGCATTGCTTTCGATAATCTAGCAAAGAGCACTTAGTATCTACTAGATGCTTAATAAATATTGCTTGTTAGGTCATTTCTAGCTCAGCTACTCCATGATTCCATAATTGTTTAATAATGACTAGCATTTATTTAGAGTACGTAATACATTTCAGATACTTCTAAAAATATGTAAAATAGATTTCATATATATGTATATAATGGATTTCATGTGTATATATATATACATAATTAGATTTCATATATAATATATATTTTATATCATCTATATGAATTTTATATTACATATTAAATGCAGTATATATATACACATATGAAATCTGTTATATAAAGTTTGCTTATATCATATAAGAAAACTTACATATTATATATATAAATTCTTATTAGGTTTAAATATATATATCACCTAACAATACAATAAAGCTTACACTCTTTTTAGAATGATCCATTTTACAGATGAGGAAACTTACCAGAGATATCAAGCAATTTGATTATATAATTAAAAAGAAGCAGAGTCAGAATTCTATCTTGAGAGTTGGTGTCTGAACTACTTTGCTCTTCCTCCTATCTAAGAAGGAAGAATTAAATCTTTTCATAGTTTTGCTTGCATTCCTTGTCATTGCCCCTAAACAACAACAAAAGCCTTTCTGATTTAGCCCTTTGCCGTCATTCAGGAGAATTTACTCACTATCGTTGTCGCCTACCCTGATCACCGTAATGTCATTTGAGATTCGATGACTGTGATACCAAGAGGTCCTGTTTCTCATTGACTGTACAGCCCACCAAGGTTATGAATAAAGAGCCCATACCAGCAATTTTGCTTCGTTAAGCCTCCAGATCACCATAGCATTGAGAATCCAAACTAGTCACACCAAATGGTACTTACTGAAAGCCAAGTGGTTACTGGTTCTGTTCTCAGCAGACTGCCCTGCCTCTGGGTCTCCTGAGTGCGCCCCTGCTCACTCTGAGCTCTGAGTGCCAAGGTGAGGATTCACGTACAAGCTCTGTTTGAAATGTGAACAAACAGGAAGTTCTCCAACTTCTATCTCAGGATAGATTTTATTCTTGCCCCAAGTTGAAAAGAAAGCTGATATCTCAGGGGAAGCCCCTGGTTTTTATTCTTCTTGTGGCTTGGCAC